TACATATGTTCCTCCTGTCGGTCTTTAATAAAATCAGATGGAAAAGGAACCACCTCCCAACCCCCTGTTAAACCCTATAATGAATCTGCTCTTTTGCCCATCTAATCCTTCATGGATGAACGGATACTCAAATCACAACACACATTAAACGTACATGTAAAATCAGATTACCATGTCATGATCGTTACCATTTTAGCCCTAACCTAAACAGGGTCAGAGAGGTGTGAGAGACAGCACATACGAGAGAAACATAGGAGAAAGAAACTCACCATAGTGTGGCGCGTCCTCGCCGGGCAGCTGACGCCGAGGCTCGCCCGTCATCGCCGCCACCCACCGTGTAGTCCGTGGTCGATTGCCGCCACGTCCGTCGCCGCCTCGAGTTGATTGGGAAAAGAAGGAAAGAAAGAAGGCATACGAACAGGAGATCCCAGAAACAACTGCCTTCTCCCGCTGGTTTAGGCGTTTTTTTTCCGAGATTCGCTATGAGGTTGAGGGTGTTTCTGCAAACTCGCCACGCGCCAGCCGCTTCGTACCGCTTCCGGCCGCTGCCACTGGGCCCCGCGAGTCAGGATACGGCAGCACCTGTGTTTTGAACCGTACGTGCTCGCATAAACAAGTTTTGGCACCATTTTTTCGTATTTTGCAACATCAAGCACCACATGCTAAACAACTTTATGCACCACCACTGCACTTATCTCCATTAACTATCCATCTTAGGTGTGATGCATTAACTACCCCACCTTCCCTGTTTTCTGTCACGAACAAAGAAATCAATCAATAAAAGACGTGGGACGTGTATGTATCTAGTGACTTGAGACTACTTAGCACAACATAAAGTGGTCAATTCTTTCCATGCAATGATATAACTAGAAATAAACATCAAGTTCTTTCAATTTTTCCCGATCGCAGTGCACAACCTAAAATAACTAATGCACCGGTGCGGAGGGTGTAAACGATCCGGTCTCCGCGACACGTGTGCCTGTGTACAGCGGTTAACCTCTGGTAGCATCCACAATCTGCTGTTCGCTGTGTGTCTCCTCCCTCTCTTGCTCGCCCGCTCGCGTTCACCACGAAGCGCAATCGCAGCACTTCGCCTCGTCGCTCGGAGCACCGCGCCATGCGCCGCCCATGGAAGCACCCCACCGCGCGCCACGGCGCCGCCGAGCTCTGCTTCCGCGAGGTCGGCGACCTCCTCCCCCGCCGCTTCGCTCGCCGCGCCGCCGCATCCGAGGTCCCCCTCCCTCCCTCATCCACTCCGCTTCCCTCCCCCCAATCGTGCTTCGATCGATCCATCAGGGGTGCGGGTCAGCATAGGTACTAGCCAGCCATGTGCCATCGGCCAGCTGTGGGTCGTGCTGCGGAGTGTTCGGGTCGTGGTCTTCTTGCCGTTTTAACTGAGATTTAGTGTTGGGTGAGATTGGACCACTGCTGATGTTAGCCCACGCAAATTGGCTTCTCGAATTAGTGCTTCGGGATCACAGTCATGTAGGAGTATTATTTTGGTCATTGATTGCTCCTTACATTGGACTATATGACATGGGTTGTGATGATCGGGGAATGAGGTAATAATGGTATTTTAATACTATGTGACAGAATCTTTGAAATGCAGGGCGGTATCTTGACCTCGTGATTTGGCAATCAAAAGGATCTGATTGAATAGCTTGACCTGAATCCTGAACTGCTCATTAGCTTCTTCCTTATCAAGTACTAGCAAATAGACTGAATGTGTAATGTATGGATTTATTTTATGCTGTTACTTGCTAATGTAAGTGCTGTCATACAGGAGCTCGTAATGCGCCTCCAGATTCATAGGAAGCTCAACAAGCACACAGGATGCGTGAACACGGTGGGCTTCAATGCCGCTGGTGACACCCTCATATCTGGGTCAGATGATCAGAGGGTAATGCTGTGGGATTGGGACACTGGTGCAGTTAAAATGCAGTTCCATTCGGGCCATGGCGATAATGTATTCCAAGCACGGTTCATGCCTTACACGAATGATCGCACCATCGTCACCTGCGGTGCTGATGGCGAGGTAGATGTGTTAATTTCTCTTTCATATACTTCACATGATGTCTCAGATGGTGATAGTAAGTTCAGAGGTTACAATCTGTTAATTCAATCAGGTGAGAGTTGCCAAGATCCAGGATGGCCGGGATGTGCTTACTTCATTGCTTGGTGAACATGATGGAAGGGCTCACAAGTTGGCTATAGAGCCTGGAAGCCCTTATATTTTCTATAGTTGTGGCGAAGATGGCCATGTCCAACATGTAAGGTCCCAATCCCCAAAACATGCCCTTTCTCACTCTCATGTGTGCACATGCAACATTTTATCTTTGTATCTGACAGCTTGTAGTTAACCATTTTCACTTCTGTGCAGTTTGATTTGAGGACAGATACAGCCACAGAATTATTCATTTGCAGAAAATCTGTGGCTAAATCAGGATACTCCTCTCATGTCCGTCTTAATGCAATCACAATTGATCCACGGAATCCAAATCTTCTTGCAGTTGCGGGAAGCAATTCTTATGCTCGTGTCTACGACACCCGTAAATGCAAGTCGGGTGGATCATCTGATTTCGCTCAGCCATCTGACTGTTATTGTCCACCACATCTTATTGGCAATAAGAATGTTGGAATAACAGGGTTAGCATTCTCTCACCAGAGTGAGTTGCTTGTATCTTACAATGATGAGAATATTTACCTCTTCCCTAAAAATGGAGGGCTGGGACCCGACCCAAAATCATCCGTCAAAATTGGAGGCGGTGAAGGGTCCAACTCAATAGTGTTTGCATCCGGTGAAGATGTTGATCGACCTGCGCCTCAGGTATATGTTGGGCATCGCAATTGTGAGACTGTGAAGGGTGTGACTTTCATTGGGCCAAATCATGAATATGTTGCCAGTGGGTCAGACTGTGGTCGGTTATTTATTTGGAGGAAGAGAGATGGGAAATTTTTACGGGCAATGGAGGGTGATGAATGCATAGTCAATTGTATTGAGCCCCATCCTCATGCTATGACAATTGCAAGCAGTGGAATTGATAATGATGTGAAGCTATGGACTCCCTCTGCCGTTGAACGAGCACAAGTGGTTAATGTTGAGGAGGTAAATCTCCCGGCATTTTATATGGCTCTTATCATCTCAACTTCTAATGGCCTATTATTTTCTATCCTACGTGTAACATTAACTTCATAATTTATAATAAACAAATTCAAGAGCTGACTGATAATTAGTTCTTTACCAAGAAAAAAAATTGTTTAATCTGTAGAAAGAATTTACAAGACTATATATTCTTTCCTCTTGAAAATTCAGAACCCTTCTTTAGCCTTTGAGATGTAAATTCTAGGGTAAATTTGATATATGCCACCACAAACTTTCTAGTTTTGAAATATGCCATTACTATTCTTTGATTTTGAAGCATGCCATTACATCAAAGTTCACAGGCTTTGAAATATGCCATTACTGGACATTAGACAATAATTTACCTTTTCATTCTCATTCGTCTTGGGAAGAAATTTAATTTGTTGGTGTAGATTTTAAGTTGGAACCTTTTGCTTTTATCTTACCATCACATGTATGTTCCAGTTGAAGCCCCGAAAGAGGAAAGCAAAGCTCTGGCAATTTGCCTTGCCGGAGGAATTGGTCTGGCACGTGCTGGCATCACGACGTAGGCAACCAGCGGCTGGAGAAGATTCATCCGAGGATCTTGAAGACAACACAGAATTGCTTAATCTTGTACTGCGAGCTACAAACAGAGATAACTTGTCTGATGAGAGTGATGAGGATGAAGAAACCTCGGATGGCTCTGGAGAATAGAGGCCAATGATCAATTGTCCTTGGGGGATATTGCAAAATTGTGTATATACGATAATAATTACTCCATTTTCATGGATGATAATAGTATTAGTGTGCCTATGTAGCTTGTGATTCTCATCTATGTTAAGATATGTGTGTTTCCAAAAAGGGTACTTTGTTGAGAAATTCGAAATATGGACATAGCGTGCGAGCATCTTCTGAAAATGTGCAACCGAGCAGCTTTGGCGGCACTACTTTTTTAACAGAAAGAAGCAAATACTTTGCAATTACAATTTTTTTTGTGTGGAAAATTGCACCTGTGTTCTTCAATGTCCCGCGCTTGCATGAGTAACCTTGTTTGGTTTGTTTCCACTTTGCTTGCTAAGCATTTTGTTTGATTCATATCCGTTGCTTGTTAAGCTATAATGGTCTGATGAAGAGGATGTTGAAAATTGATATTGATATAAGTTCATCTGTGTTATTTGGTCCAATTTGGAATAATTGCTAGATGTATAGTTTGAAGTTGTTTGTTTCTTTCGAACTTACTTAATATTTCACTGTGCAGCAGATCAACTTGGGTTTACAGAATTGGATGTTAATGCAGTTGTGGAGAAGAAAAAAGACAAAAAATCCTGCACTAACAGGTCAGTGACCCACATAACTTTATTCCTCTAATTTGAATGTTATGTTTGTTAGGACATAACGTGTGACAGAAAAAATCAATGTAAAACATTTAGTACCATCAATGTGCATCCCATGCAAAAGGTCTGTTTCTTGCACAACGATTGTGCTAACTATGCATACTTGGTTTACTCCAGCCTTACACTCGCAACTAATTAGCTATGTCGAATCAACCTTGTACCTGTAGTGTCAGTTATTGAGTACAATTTACAAACTGAAGCCTGTGGATCTGCTTCTACTTTCGATACTTTACACCACTATTTGCTGCCCTATTGTCAACTGCACAGGATGGAACAGCTAATTTTAATTGACCTTGTACTTGTAGTGTCAATTATCGAATACAATTTACAAACTGAAGCCTGTGGATCTGCTTCTACTTTTGATACTTTACACTGCTATTTGCTGTCCCTACTGCAGAGGATGGAACAGCTACCTTAATTGACCACGGCTATTGATACTGAGTAAGAGTATTAGCATTATAGGCATCTACCATATGTACATCGACATGTATTCAGTAGTTCTTCTATCTGGTATCTGGCTGAACCTCTGCTGGCCTCATATTAATGCTCATTATGAGTGCCACCAACTGCAAGGATGTACAATAGAAGTTCATATATAAAAATCAAGAAATATATACTAAACAAAAAGTGTGCAGTAAGTTTTAAATTCCACAGCACAATATTTTAACCATATTCATAGCAATGTTCAATTAGGGAGCCTACCGTAGCAAATCCAGCACAAGCCAGGCTGAAACCTTTGAAGTTGAAAGGTGTGGTCTCTGATAGGAACCATGCTGTCAAACCAATGGAAAAAAAAACGTTATAGCTAATGACATCTTTGGCTAAGCTTGTGGGAAGTGGCATAGGGATGAAAGAAGTAAGAAGGACATGCTAGACATAATCTGTTGTGAGTTTAGATGTGCTAAGCAAAGATAATGACAGATGCTTACCTGTGAGCGGAGTAAAAACTAGAGGAGATATGACACTTGCAGTTGAGCTGATTCCTGTAATACAGCCTTGAACCATTCCCTAAAATAAACATTGGAAAAGAGAAACTGATTCACAAAGGGTATCTAATATCTTGGTGGAAATAAGCAGCTTCATTTAGTCATGGATTAAATTATGTACATTTAGATTAGTACCTGCTCAGAAGGCCCTACTTTTTTTGATACAATGCTCCTTATCTGTTAAAGAATAGAATCAATAAAAACAAACTATTGACATGGTTACACGAACCGAAAATAAAAGCAAAAGAGGCAATCGCTGATAGATATTACTCACACAAGGGCCGACCAAAATGCTTAGAATCACACAGCTTGCAGCAAGATAAGGGACCTTCAACAAAACATAAAAATTTAGTACGACTAATACCAAAAAATAGCCATCATTCACAAGACCACCATTTGATCAGTTGCATACCCAGAATGACCATGCAATGCTGTATAGGAATCCCTGCAAGATACATGCTAGATCAAATCACATTGGCAAGTTGTTCTTGCAGGAGAATTATATAAGAAAAACTAACAGGACTATGCCATAACAATGCCCTTACATGCACGCAGCTCCCTGTAAGTGCCACGACAAGTAGCTTCTGCTCACCCAGCTTCGGCGCTAAGAAAGGCATCATGGTCAGCTGCATAGATCATAAATCGTAAACTGCTTTTGCCGCACCAAGTGAAATCGAGCACATAATCGATCATAAATTGAAGACGTTGTAGGTAAACATTGCTAAATGAACTCGTACCTGTGAGAAACTTCCTGTAATGCCAATAATAAGCAACAAATTAGCATACTGGTTCTTGGTATAGTGGAATTGGGCCTTCAGGAAATACTGCATTTGTGATTATATCACAAAAGACACAACAGTTAGAAGCATTTTGAGATATCCATGAAGTATAGTTGAAAAACATGCAAGAGATGGATTGTCCATGATCCCAGCTTATCGAGTTCTTCAAAGAGGAACCTTCGTGTAGAATTTACAGCATTGCAGTTTACATGTATGTTGAAAAGTATTTTGGCGGATAAAATGTAGTACCAGTAATGCAGTTTGCAGGCCTGTTTCGCCAAGGCTGTGGAAAAATGTGACGACCGCTGCTCTTGTGAAAGTTGAGCTGCAAGTGGTTTGCAGGCATTCAGCTGGTAATCCGAGGTTAATGTCTTAGTGCATTTTCTTTTCTAAGAATATACTCCCTCCGTTCGGAATTACTTGTCTCGGAAATGGATGTATCTAGAACTAAAATACATCTAGATACATCCATTTTCGCGACAAGTAATTCCGAACGGAGGGAGTAGATAGGAGGAACTAAGCTATCCTTCTTTTTCATAGAAGAGTATATATCTGTGTATTTTTCATTGATAGGTCTGTGGTTTCCACGGCAAGATAATGCACATCATCATGTTGGATGAAAGCTAAAGAAACTCAATTCATTGCTAATCCTTATACACCAAGCGGAAGGAGTTGGTGATGACAGAACTGATGAACTGGGAGTCTTAGCCTGTTTAACAGAAAGAGAAACCCTGTTCGCTTACTTGAACTGTCAAAGGTTAGTACAGTTTCTACTCTCCGTTGAGCCAATGAGCAGGCTAATTTTGCAATCTTTTAAGCTGAGAAAGGCATGCATGTCACCTGCTGGTAAGAAGGGTGGCCATCTCCGACAGCGACGGCGCCTTCCGGAGATGCGGGAGCCTCGGCGACGCCTCCTCGGGGCTAGAGGAGGTAGGGAAGAGCAGGCGCGAGGCCTCCTCGTCGCGCAGCAGCGACGCTCCGCGGTCCGTCTCCTGGACAAAGGCCCTCAGGTACACCGCCGCAGCAACGGACGCCAACGTCGCCACCTGCAGAGCACAAACAGATGAAGAAACAACCTATGTGGCGGATGCAAACGCACGAGGCGCACGTAAAACATACCTGGAACGTAGAGGACACGGAGAGGAAGCGGGCCGCGATGGTGCCGCCTACGAAGCCGGCAGTGCAGACGCCGGAGAACACCCCGAAGGCCGCCGCTCGCCGCCCCTCGGGCACCTTGTCGGCCTGCACGCCACGCAGAGTAAGAGAGAGCAATCCATGCATTGCATTGCATCAAGGTGAGCTCCAGTCATCTATGGAAATATTGGAAAAACTTGAAGTTGGTGAGAGAGGCGATGGAGCTGGTTACCACGTAGGCGAGGGAGAGGCACATCATGGCGCCCTCGGAGACCATCGCCGTCAGTTGTCTTGGCGACGTAGAATGCGTAGAAGTATGGCCTCGTCTGGTTAAAAGCCATGATGGCTAGCCGACACGAAAGGAAACCAAAAGGTGGTCAGTATTATTTCCACTTGCAACCTGTGGCTGTGGGTGACGTGAAAGATTAATTCATGAGTTTACCCAGTGGAACGATGGACAAGGTCGCCGGGAGAGCGAGCAGCGCCTTGCGGCCGTACCTGTCGGACAGGTTGCCGATGACCGGCGTGACCACGAGCGCACCCAGCCCGGTGATCTGCAGCAATTTTTATACAGGTGAGAATGAATTGCCACCGGCCCGCACCCACAGTGTCGCTTGTACTGCTGCTTTTAGCACGCCGGCTTCTGCTTGTCCCGTGGCGCCCACTCGCTGATTCTTGTACTGCTAGAGCGACCCGTCATCGGTGCAAGTTAACGTCAAAAAATAAAGATCAGGGGCACGCGTCGCTGATGGACACTACTACTACCACATAGCACGACACAGTCTAGCAAGTTTTCTGGTGCTGGTAACTGCGGGAGTGCGGGCCACAGTAGCCACTCACATTTTCAGTGCCGTCACATGCACCACATTCGCAAGTTGTGCGACGTGTAGCCCCGTGTCTCGTTTTCTCCCTCCGCTTTTGGGGCAAAGCCTTCACGAAGAAGAAAAAAGAGAAAAAAAAGGGCTAAAGAATGAGGTCTGCTTGGGTTAGTTTCCCTGTCTATCTGTTTATGAGATGACACTGGTAGTAGTAGTCGTAGCGGTGGTAGTCACAGTTCCGACGACTTTTCTTGTGTCTCGACTCTCAACCATACTACTACTACTACTACTACTTGGGAAGCAATGCTCCTAGCTTTTGACGCCAGGGAGAGCTGCAAGATCTACTCATAAAAGTGTATCGTCGGGTTACCTCAAGAAAAGGAGAGCGTGGTCGGTGCGGGGGTGCGACATTTACGATGGTTGGCCGCGGACAAAAGCGAGATCTCGCGGGTGCGTCGTCGTATCGCCGTGTGACGCACCGGCCACACCGATCGCACCCAAGACGAGACAGTGGACTGCTAGCTCAAAGTCAGGGCGACCGCCCGACGCGACGGCGAGAGACCCGTCACCGTTCACCGGGGCGACGGACGGTGCCGCATATGACGAAAGCAAACTTGTTGCATTCAATGGCTCACGGAAATTCTAGGCCGGTTTTCCTAGGAATCGGGGAGGTTTCCCAAGTTCCAGACGGTGGCCAGAAGCAACTATTCCACACACATGGGACTGTGGTGGAGGTTAGCTTCATCTGATGGTGGAGGCTAACTAGAAGCAAAGGCAGGAAGCGTGCGTGGTGGTGCTTCCACTCTCTCCCTGTCCCTTCATGCCATCCCCGTGTTCCTTCCTACAGTCTCACCAGCCTCACGTGCGAGAACACAGGAAGAAAAAGCCAACGAATATAGCAAACATACAGGATACGGCCACACCACATTGATCCGATATTTCCTAGCAAAAGGGAGGTAGCAGGCAAGCAGCGGCTCGGCGCCTGGCAAGCACGCGGGAGCTAAAATCTAGCTGGATCACCTGGACTCGGCTGAAGCCTAGCTCAAAAAGCTGCATGCGTATACGAGGAACCAAGAAACGGATGCAGAGAGGTGCACGCATGGGATGCGAGTACGTACGGCTTGCTGCAGGCCGGTGAGGTAGATGGCGAGGGAGCACTGGTCTTGGCCGGGGCAGAGCGCCGCCATCGTCACGTCGGTGATCACTGGCGCCACCATGAAGGCGCCCACGCAGAAGAGGAAGGCGAACACCAGCAGGTGCCCCAGCTCCGCCGCGGCCTCCTTCATCT